CAAAAAGATTCCATTAAGAAAGAAATGGTTAATTCTATTTCACATATCAAGAGATTAAGAAAGATGATGATGATTATGGAGAAATGACCACTGTATTCAGCAATTTAGAGATCATAGATGATTTGACACACAAAAAAATTTCAGTAGAGTTTTGATCATCATACTTTTCTGAGGCTATCTCATTGGATCCCTTGACTTCATATACCATCTATCTGGTGACTTCCAAATTGGTGCCTCTAGACATGACCTTTTCTCTGATCTCTACATTCATTCATTCACTCTTTCTTTATTTAATGAATATTGTACATCTACTACAGGGTTAGGCACTATTTCATGCTTTGCAGATATAGTAGTGAACAAGATAGATGAGGTACCTGTCTACTCTTATGGAGATAATAAGCTAACAAATAAATGGAACAAACAATTAGATATTGATAAATGATATGTACAGAGTTAAAATAAAAGTGATATTATATAGACAATTTGAGGGTACTTTAGGTTTATTAGAGGAAGTTTTGTGGTAGAGGGGAAATTTGAGCTTAAAATGGAAAAATAAGGAACTAAACTTGTTGATTAGTTGGAGACTTTTGGGCAAACGGAACAGTGCAAAGATTCTCAGATGATAATTAACTTTGGCATATTAGAGGTATAGAAAAAGACCAGCTCAGTTAGAACATTGTGAAAAAGGCAGGAGTAATACAAGTTAAAGTCAGAGATATAGACAGGGGTCAGATGATATTCTAAATAGGGTAATATTTGTACATTTTATTTTAGGTATGATGGGATGTCATTAGATTTTTTTTTGGTAGGAGAGTGATCTAATATGATTCAGATTTTAAAAGATTGCTTTGTGCAATGGCTTATTAGGTTGTTTCAGAATAACTCTCCTTTGAGAACAACTAGGAAACTGGGGTGTGTATGCGCGAGCTATCAAGACTGTGACAATTTATTAGGGCCTACATTCAGATTGGAAGGGAAATACAGTATTTCAGGGATTAAATACA